TGATCCCTTCAATTGGAGAGGGGGTACCTCTTGGAGTACCGTACTGCCCAGGTTACAGGTATTAAAAGGGTCATTGCGCAAGAGTGAGTTTGCACATGCAGAACCTGTGTAAAGTGAGGGAAATCTGTATTCTTACAATGGTGTAAGCAGCATCCTTCTACTCCTACTCATACCATTGCTTAAAACAAAAGAAGAAAATATATTTTCATGCCCAGATACTTCCTCATTGCTCTGCTTTTGTATGCAGATGCTCAGACATAGATATACTGTGATAGATATACTCTGTCTCATGGAGAAGTCGTGGCCTTCAATGGAGAGGAATAAACAAGCAATACAAAGGAAATGACAGGGGTGAGTGGGAGGCATTCAGATTACAACAAGCCAACTCTCAGGATGGTAAATAAAGACCCACTTTTCAGCGCATATTCCTAGTACCTCTTACAAGGGATCTCAAAGTGCTCGGCCAACGGTCCTGAAGAACAGCCTCCCTGAGACAGAAGTATCACAACCCCTGTTTTGCAGGCGGACACACTCAACCACAGTGAAGTGAATTGCCAGAGGGACGGAGAGCAGGGCTGTGGTTGAACCACAACTAAAATCCTCACTTCTCCACTGGAGACACCTGCCCATGCTCCTTCCGCAGAAGCAAGCTTGCTGCAACTTGTGACATCTCCCGTCCTCACTGTGCAGGCTAAAGCGCCCTTCTGACACAAGCATCTGGCATGGCAGGCAGCAGAGAGAGGCCAAGCATGAATATCGTGGCTAATTGGCATCACACGAAATGTTTGCTTTGTGGGTATTTTCCTTGCATTAAAGTGCTTTGTAAAAGACACAAACAGTGCAGCGGGCAAGAGGGAAAAAACTGGAAGAGAAAGGGGTTCAAAGACTTTGCAGTGGGCTCGGTTTTGGGTGTAGCTTTCACAAGCCATCAGCAGGTTCACTGAGGACACCATGTGTGTGCAATTTCTCACGTGAGGGTCCAGCAAGATTGAGGACGACCAAAATAAGAACGATCTCGGAGGAAGAACAGCCTTGTATTGATGCCTGTGCACTGAGGCTGCTGGGTCTTTGTGCGTGGCAAAGCCCTCAAGGACTCAGTGGTGCTCTGCAAACTGTATGCTCATTTCCAAGCCCTTCTTTGCCAGCTCTGATGTCCACTTGGGTAGAGTGTAAAACTAGCAGCCTTTACTATAAATTCTTTAATGGGAGCAAGCAGAACCAACCTTAGGGGTGGGCGATGTGGGTGACTGCCCAGGGTACCATGGTCAGGGGGGCATCATACACACATGAGCAGCCTATGCCTTGGCCAATTCCTGCCCCAGGCAGAAGGAGCAGTGCCCCCCCACGCCCTCAGCTTTCAGCTGCTGCTCAGGAAGAGCTGAGCCAGGCAACGCAGTACCTGCCTGCCCACCTGCCTGGCACACCGTGCTGCTCTGCCTCCCCTCCGGACGGCATCTCGCACCCTTGCCTCTGCCTGCAGCAGCACCACTGACTTGCTGGGACACTGGAGTGGGAAGGGGGCACCAAAATACAAGTTCACCCATTGCTCTGTTTTCCCTAAGGCTGGCTCTAGGAGCAAGTATTAAATGTGATTTCGTGATGCCAGTCAGGGAGGTATCAACAGCCTTCTCTATGGATCCTCAGCTACTGTAATGCACAGACTAGTCTGTGCCACTGCCTCTCCTAGATGTGCTCCAAATTGCTCAGCTGTGTGTCCTAAACCCCACAGTGCTGATGAATAAAAATGACTCCCTCTTAGCTACTGTGAGTTGCACGTGTGCTCTGAGAATGGTGATCAAAGTGCTGTCCCAGAGTGTACAGGAGTGCTTCCAGGAGCTGGGGTGTTCAGCACGGTGACAACGGGAAAGTGCTAGGTGACCATCACTTGTTACATGACTTGCTCCTAGTAACTCCATCTGTCATGTACTGCTATATTTACAAAGCCATGTACAGCAGGGGTTGGCAATGTTCTCGGGCAAAGTGCCCAAAACTCCCACAACCTCGACTTGTAAGATGTAGGCATGTCAGGGGTGGATGGCAAGCGAGCTGCGAGGGATCTGATCCTTGTTGTGGCAGTGCAGCCCTGACCCCTTCCTCCCGCCCTGCATCTGCCCCGAGG